AAGAATGGAAGTCCGCTGTTCCGTGATCCGTAGGAAGTGCATGGCACAAGTTAACTCCACGGAACGTTCGGTGGATATGAAGCCGGTTACACAGAATATTTGGTAACGACTCACTCCAGCTTATAAGGAGGGGGGCCTCCTTTAAATGCAGGAGACAAAGACGCTTCTGGTAATCTCGGCATCCGTGGACCGTGTAGCACAAACACTTCATCGGTATGAAGCAAGCCCTTTCGGCTGCTCCTTCGTCAAACATAACTGTTGTATCATACGAGGCTATCGCATAATCTCAGCCAGCCCTGTAGCTATCGTATACCTACAAACTGTACGGAGTACTCTGTACTCTGTACGGGGTCTGGCATTCCATGCTGGGCTGGCTCCGCATCAGAGGGGAGGTGTCGGTCTGCATATATGAGCTGAAGCGGGAAAATGTCGGTAGTTGACACCTTAGTCAAATGTTGGTTGATTCGTGGGTAAATATAATTATTAAAGCTTCCTGTAGTCTGTAGTCGGTGTTTTCCCTAGTTTTCCTTTTTATTATTTCTTCCTTCGCCCAAAGCTTATTGAGGTTTCATTTACCTATTATGGTCACTGTAGGGCAGCAGCTTGTGATAGCTTTTTCTGAAAGTTCATTTCATTTCGTTAACTAAGTTGGCGGTTATCCTCATGCTGGTTGAATGTTGTTAATGAAAGTTCAATGGTGCCTGAGTTAGTTCCTGGGTTTATCGGTTCACAAAAGGTGAAAAGGAGCGAAGAGATATACATACGCCCTTTGGCTCTGAGCACATTTAGACTTAGCGCATGTAACGACAGTACACAGACAGACCTCTCGAATCCGATACGGAGTATGGAGTACGTGATATGTTATTACTGAGTTCCGATGGCGATCAAAGGTTAGCTGCTAGCATGAGCCATCGCTGGGGACGGGAACTTGTCTGTCACAAGCCTCTAGATCTGATGGGAGAATCAACTAGTTAGTTATATATCATAGTCATTAATACTCTGGCAATATCTGCATGGTATAAGGTCTAGATCGAGAGGGGCGACGCCACGAATAGGTCTGTCGCCCAAAGTTCTTCTTACAAGGTCATCCGAACGCCGGCGTTCGAGAGGCCGCCCAAATACAATCTGTTCCTGTTGCGGTACAAATGGCTACCTCAGGGGTGTTGAGGCCTCATTTTGAGAGATGACACAAGGCCTAGGAGCAAGCCGTTATCTTACTATTGTCGCTTGGGTTTGGTTAGCTAGCCATGGTTGGTTGGTCAACCGGGCCATGGCTTTGGCTTCCCTGGCCGGCGTTTTCTGGGCAGAACCAAGCCGGAGTGCAACAATGAAGAGCGCACAGTGGCTTTGCTGATGTTGCTATAAACGTTCGATGGCGACAAAAGGAAGAAGAGAGCTGGGTGCCTGGATCTGCCCAGGCCCCCCCCCCCTCCCCGAGATATGAGATCGTGGTCGATGAATCCTTTCGAGATCTGCGCCAACCCGGAGGCGCTACCTCTTTCTGGCATCGCCGGGCATGAGACGTGGGCGCAGTGGAGGATTGACGTCTGAAGATGAAGCAGGAAAAGACACAAAACTGGACGAAATGAAGCCGACGTTGAAGATTCTTCTTCTTTTGATAATGGCAGAATAAAAGGGCGGTGGCTGGAGCTTCCAGTCTAGGGAAAGGCGCGCTTCGCCGGTTTTGGGTCTTTTGACGTCTCCGATAATTTTGACGGCAGCGTCAGCTCAAAACACACCAAGCACGCGCACAACGGCGACTGCGCAGGAGAAGAAACAAGCTAGCGGCGAGAAAAGAGCGGGAATACGAGTGTCAACCCAGTGTCATATTACTCTGTCATCGCCTGGGAGAAGCAAATATAAAAGGCACAGAAGCAGAGGAAGAGGAAAAGAAACGTGAGAGCTAGCAAGCTCCTTTACTGTCTTCAAACAGGTCAAGACGAGCCTCCTGGCTGTGGATAAACAATAAAATAGCTATTGCCCCGGCGAACAGGTTGATTCCCCGTCCCGATCTTCCGGCAACGCTCTTACAGGAATATAAAATGGGCCTTGCTTGCAAAGGAGCCCGTGGAACAAGGTATTTGATAGGAGCCCGATTGCTCGACCGAGAGACAAGCAGAAACAATCCTAGCAAGGAGATGCACGAAATGTTTTCTCAGGGATATGGAAAAGCATATCCAGCAATAAGATGGGTCCTTGAATCATGTTTAAGCTGTCTCGCTGGCCGAGCTCTGTGGGGTGCTTCTCACACCACAAAGCATGCAAGGAAATTCACATCGAGGAGACACTGAGTACTCCTCAATCATAGAAGGATAACCAGCTAATTACTATGAAGGAAACTACACCACACACCAACAGGGTCTCGTGTATTAGAAATCTCGGGCCCGAAGCTCCCCAGCCAGTTAGGGGCCAGCAACGCCCCTTTTCCCACATGGCCAAACTTTTTCAACATGAACTCTTTCAACTTTCAGCACTACCGTTGGCCTCGAAGCCAGAAATAAGTATGATGGCGCCGAAGATCGTGAAAAAAGAATGAGCGAAAGGAAGTGGAGGAAGAAAAAGAAAGAAATTAAAAAACGGCAAGTCCAATCGTCGCCCTTTCTCGCCCGTGGAGATGATCTCCCCGTCGAGAGGACCTGGAACAGGGATTCTTGATCTGGCTTGTTAATAATAATTCTTTCCCTGGGCTATATGTGGCATATGGTCGTTCACAGTCTCCACCTGTGTGGAACGACCTTTTTCGTCGTTGTGATGGAGAGGGATGGATAATTGCTTCTTTTCTCTTCTCGTTTCTTTCCTTTTTCTCCTTTTTTCCTTTTATTTGGGCCATCATCTCTCCCGCACGGAGTACTCCAGGCCTTCTCTCACCTACCCCCAAATTATGCTTAGTGACGGCTGGTACCTCTTCCTGCTTCGGAGTAAGTATCAGAAAGGCATGATGTGACAATCCTGGCTAATATACGCCCACCCAGCCACACTATGTTATGGCCCGCCATTCCTGCTGAAACTCCTATCTCTCGAAGTCATATCCAGGCAGACCTTCGACAAGGAACAAGAGGAGATCGCGGCTCGTTTTACTTCACTTCTCTGATTCGTTGACAGGTGCTCCCCTCCCAGTCTCTCTCGCCTCAAAGCGGCGTGCGGCGTTTCTTACTGTGCACCAGACTCCGCATTCATGTCTCTTGACATGGTCCCTCTGTGTTTGCGATTCCCGGCATGAACCTAGGTATAAGCAACTCATTCTGCTCTGTCAATATCGTCGCCATTATTATTATTCTTCCTATCGGCCTTCCGTCCTCCGTCCACTCCTTGATTACCAGTTCCGCCGCCATCATCGGTCGTGCAACCCGCATTGCCTCTACCCCTTGTGGCTGTCCATACTTTCTTTTTTGTCTTTGCAAGTGATGGTAAGCCTGTTGTTCTTCTTACGACCACGACTCTCTTCATCGTCATACATTCAATACCTCTCAAAGGTTCTTTTTCCAAGTTTAATCTGTTTCGTATAACCCGGACCCTCAGAGCTTTGCTTTTTCTTCTTTCCCCTCCCGCTGTGCAGTCTTCACCAGGCTGCTGAAAAAGAGACAGCTGTGCGAAGCTGCTTCCGTGACCCGTCATTCATTCCTCCTTGCTTTTCCTTCAGTTTCTTCCCTTTCGTTGCCCCGTCATCCCATGTGTGCATCCTGGCAGGTGGAAGCCATGTGCTTCCTGCACCACTAGTCATCTAGTCATACGAAATTCTGTATCGTCTTTGCCTTATGGTGTACTCCGTACAAGGTTACCAATTGGCATATATACGATTAGGATCGTGTCTCAGAATTACGCCAGGAAAAGGCCACATCCTTTTAGCTCCTCTCTCTTTCTTTTTTTTTTATAACGAGCTCCCCCTACCTTGACTTTTCATCTTCAGTGATTCTTGGTTGATCTTTGTGTGGGGTCCAGGAAAGTACTCGCAATTACGATCTTGATCTCTAGGCTCGGGTAAAGGGTTCGTTCCTTTTTCTTCACTTCCTAGTGTTATATTATTATATCAACAGCTATGAAGGACAAAGCCGCATAATAAGGTTGTGGAATTGTGCCCTCTTCCCCCATCCCAGCTGATCTTTATATATTCACATGCTCCTCTTGACCTTGCTCTCAACAATCCCTCCGTTGCTCTCATATTAACACTCATTATTCATTCCAGGCCCAGAGCTCCTGAACCCCAGACTAGTTTCTGCGGACAGTGTCCATTGACGTATGCATTTGACTCTGGTTGCGTGGTATCTTGTATAGGCTCGATACCTTATCCTAGAGGTCTATACAGCTTTGTTTACAATCAAGAACCCTATCGAAATGGATTCCAATTCAATAGATGACCACCCTACAAACCCCAATGTTGTCCTGCAACCCTTGCAACCATTGGGGCTTGGGAGCATGAGGCTTCCACCGAACTATTGGTACAGAGGGTCGGACGTACAGAACCACCAACAACAATACCAACATCCACTGAGATACTGGCACCACCCAAATTCCCTACCAAACCAGCCAATATCCCCTCAAGAAGCCTTTCATGGACAGTCTACGCCTGCTTCACCGGCAGCTACTGAGCATAAGAAGCACAAACGTACGAGAAGTGGCTGCTTTACTTGCCGTGCCCGTCGAGTTAAGGTAATTCCAGTCTGATCCCTAAAATTGCTCTGAGACCTGCTAACGGTAATGCCGCAAAGTGTGATGAGAAGCGTCCTACCTGTGACCGTACGTTTTGCACCCCAACTCCTCGCCTTTGCCCCGTTTTCTCTGCCCATTTTATCCCAGGTCGTACTATTGTGTAGAGGTGGCTGCCGAATACTTATTGACACTCTTATATCTAGGTTGTGGAAAAGGAAAACGGGAGTGTATCTATCCGCCTCCGCAGGTTCCAAAATCAACAAAGAAACATAGTGTGAAGGTTGAAGAGCCCTGCCCAGTGATTGCTGAAAGCGGACCTGAAGGTGGAGAGGTCGAGAAGGGTCAAAATACTGGGCAAGGTACACTAAGCAGCTCCCAACGAGCAAAATCGCCGGACAACACAGGAGTACGGCACACAGGTAAAACTAAGAGGAAAAGCCCCGGAACTCGCCGATCTACCAATGCCAGCCATAAACAGAAATCGGTTAATTCAGAGGTCTGGACTACCTCTCAAGATACCAGTGCATCCCCCGCCAGTGATACGACGGTACATTCCACAGGGTCCCACAGCCCTCCAGCCCATGCCGATATTTACTGGGATCAATTCGATGATAACCCGGACTCGGTGTCTAGCATTGCAGATACCCCTGGCCTTAGTGACGATATAAAATTCTTCCTAAGGTATCATACGCAGCATATTACGCACTCACACTACATGATGAAATCTGTTGCTGCTAAATTTATTAGTGAAGACCTGGTGAAATACGCCTTAGAATATGAACCTCTCCTGTATGCCTTGGCTGCATTTTCTGCCTATCATTATTCTATTAAACATCCTGATGGTCGACTCTATACCTTTCTCCAATACTACAACAAATCCGTTTCATCCCTGCTCAGTTCTTTAAAAAGTCGTCAGCCGCACAGAGATGCCACGATTCTCACTATACTTCAGCTAACCACTTTCGAGGTACATATAACACCACTTTTTATCAAATCGGTTAGTTATCAAGCTGCTAAGTGTTTGCATTTAGGAATACGTTGGAGACTGGGTCAATCTGATCGATCATCATCATGCAGCTCATCAGATGATTCTTCAAATGTACTCACCGGACACAATCTTGGATGACAGGTTCCGCACGCACATTATCCACTGGAATATGCGGTACGATGTCATGGCTGGTTTAATGGCTGGTAATGCCACAATCCTAGGCCGAGAATGGTATATACTAGCGGAGAAGCAGGCCTACCAGGAAGCGGCAGATGATCCCGACTCTCTGAGCAAACAGCTCTTTGCCTTTTGTGCAAGTAACAAGCGATGTGCGGTCGAGATGGCCTCTCTTGTAGCCAATGTTTCTCAGAATATCATCTCGCGAGAAGAATTCCTCGCCGAATCAAGAAGGCTCACGGAGACAATGAGAGAAATGATCCACAAGGTTAACGAATTCAATGATCCAAATTATCTTGTCATGGACTATCCAGAGAAGATTCCATTGGAGGCGGACGATATTGTCGATCCCTACGTTCCAGGATTGGTCCATACCGGTCCATTCAGTGAAGTGGATTTAGTTAAACTGGAGCTCCGAAGCAGTCTTTTTATGTACAACTGCTAGATCGATTTGATCACACAAACACTGGAACCCGCCGAGATGTCGAAATTTGCATTGGAGCAGTGCCAGCTGGTTGAGACGATAAGCAGGCTGCCTAACAAGGATCCAATGTTCCCCCTAATGTTTCACAACGTACTGGGGTTGATTTGCTTATATATTCCGCCTGATGACCGCTATAGAATGTGGTGTCGGAAAAGGCTTGCTGAAATAGAGCAACACGGGTAAGTTGGAGCAACCCCCCCTCCCCCCCTTTTCTAGATTTCCTGTGATTTGGGCCATTATTAATGACCTTTTATGTAGATATATATTTCCTCCTGCAGTCCGAACAAGGGTAGCTGACATCTGGAAGCTCCCCGAGGTTGCAGATTGGTGGCTGCCAAATGGCGAAGGATGCCCCAAATTAGTTCGAGAAATCCGAGACTGGACGTCTGAACGTACTACGAATCCCAGAGACAATTTCAGGGAAGCAGTGAGGGATATCCGGTCTCTCTTCGGTAGAATGACTTGTTCCGACGATAGCAGCCAGGCCAGCACACCAAGTGCGCATAGCGGAGCCTATCAAGGACTATCACCTCCGCAATCTTCCCCTTGAACAGCAGAGTACGCCCTGTCCCTAAATTTAGGTGCAGGCTTTCTCCTGAACTAACCATCTTTCTAACGAGCGCAATTTCGCGGATTGCGAAATATACGACTCTTTTATGAGCCTCTACCGTATTTCCACGGTAAAAATTTTCTGTTTCAGTAGGTGTGAAAGATATGATTGTGATTGGAATTCCATGCATTTGTGTTCTTCGTATCGTGCACTGCATCTGGACACTATACGTTGCGCTTGGAAGCGTTGGAAAGTTTACATGACAAGCAGCTTTTTCTATATTTGGCGTTGGGTGATCTTGTGAAGAAGCATAGTGCTCATGTAGCGACGTGACTTTGAGGACACTATTTGTAAAATAGCTTGAGAATTTAGGGAGATATATTGCTAAACACACCTTTGATATTTAGTCTATCTAGGTCAAATAATTGATGTGAATTCCACATTTTTTAAAAAACTCAATTTGAGGCTCGGGGTTGGCATCCGGTCTGGTTGGCCTTCAAGCTTGTTCTATAATATGTACGTCATATTTGCTACGTGGGATATTGAATGCCAAAGTAACCACAATACTAGATCATCATCCGTATAACAAGCTCAGAAATAAAGCAACACTGCTTCAATTTTCCATGTACACGATTAACTTCACCAAAATCATGAACGGTACCGATATTAAGTGTCAAGGTCATAGACCCTAATTTCCTTCCCAGAAGCTCCAGCAACCTCGACAGCTTCAATGATGGTTTCTAGACCTTGAGCCAACTCACTCCCGGGGCCAGGTTCGTACCCTCGATCAAGTTCCGTTCCCCATGGTAAAGAATCAACGTCAACTTTTAAACCAAGGAGGCATTTCAATATCACAGAAGCACCAGCCTTGCTTATAACAAGGTTCATTTCAGGGCAAAGTTCGTTGCAAACACATTCTACACAGCCTTGAGCAGCCGTGCAAGTACACGTATCAATGCGCGAGTCAGCACGAACAAGAAGACTGTCTATAAACTCGAAGGCTTTAGAGGTGATTCCAGAGCCGGATGAGCCTCCTTTTGCATCGTAAAAAACAAGTCGTGCCTGTCTCTGGCGACGTGGTATGGGAGGTGCAAGTGGATGGAAGAAATGGTTTCGTGTCCTTGGGTCTTGATCGCGGTTAGAACCCCTTGCCTGCTGGTGTTTTGGCCCTAGTTCTTTCTTTGCGACTTTGCATTCTGTTCGAATGTCTCCCGGTGAGGATATCAGGAAAGTCGGAAGTAGAGATATGATCGCATGCTCTGCTGCATGGATAGCAGCTGCGGCATTCAAATTATGAGATGAAAGGATTTCTAATGCCGTTTTTGGCACATCTAACCAGAGGCCCTTGCTCATCTTGTCAATAGGAGGAGTATCCAGGGCCACGGCATCAAGTATTCTGCCCTTCCTATCCTTTTTGAAATATCCGTATACCAATGTGTGAATGGCAATTTTTCCAAAGAATGCCCTATAGTCAGATAATCTGCTGATACGTCTGATTGCTTCGGTTTCAATCGGATCAACATTTGTAAAGTCTCGTTGTTCGGTGATCCAATCGACATGCGCGCGAACCACCCTTGCAAAGCGTTTAGTTGTATTAAGCTCCTTCACAAGATAGGTGTTTCCCTGATGGAAATATATGGCTCCCTCATATACGGTGAAGAAGACGCGAGCATCATCAATCTCTTCAACGACAACATTTCTGTTGTTCGTGGTATCTATGATAGCGTAGTTACCTTCATCAATGCTTCTAATCGAAACAAATTTCGAGGGGTTGGGTCTGAATCTTTCATGGCAATGATAGAATCCCATGTCGTCCCTTATTAGACGAGTATCTGCAAGGTGCGCCAACTGCGGCCCAAAATATGTAGAGTCGTTCTCTGGGCGAATTGGCATTTCGAAGGCAGCACATTGAACATGGCCTTCAAGAACAAGCTCATTCTCTAGATCAACGAGTAGTCCGCAATTGGGCTTCGTGAAGAGGTCGTCGGGGTTATTCATATAGTGTTGGTCTGCTGCGCTCTGACCAGCAACCAAGATCGAGAGGGAGTCTTTGTTTCTTCTTCCTGCCCGTCCACTTTGCTGCCTAAAATTGGATATCGAATGTGGGAATTCATGCGTGATTACAGCATCCAAGGTCCCAATGTCAACACCAAGCTCCAGTGCATTTGTTGCCACAATGCCGAGCAACTTGCCCTCAAACATTTCACGTTCAATCTTCCGTCTATCTTGTGGGCTGTAGCCTCCTCGATATCCCATAACAAAGCGAGACACGTCTGACCTATTGAGTGTACGAAATTCATCTTTGACCGCATTCAAGAGATATTCGCATTGCTTGCGGATACGACAAAATGCGATCACTCGTACTCCCCGTAAGATAAGCTGGCAAAATAACTTGGCTGATTCATCGATGCTACTCCCACGACCAGAGCTAGCATCATTAGGGTCCTTATACGGTGTCTGCCAGCAAAGAAACTCCTTTCGTCCTGAGGGTGATCCGTCAATATCTGTCAATTTCACTTCGTCAATTCCAAAAATAGCCTTCATATGCTCCTCTGGATTCGCCACGGTTGCAGAACATGATATAAATTTGACATCAGAATTCCCTATTGAAGCGCATATTCTTCTCAAGCGACGCATGATGAGAGCAACATGAGTCCCAAAAAGTCCATTGTAGACATGAAGCTCGTCAACAACAACGTACTTTAAATTTTTCAAGAAATTCCTCCACAATGATTCATTGGGCAAGATAGTGACATGGAGTATGTCAGGGTTCGTGAAGATAATTCTCGCTTCCTCACGGATTGCATTTCGACTTGCCATTGGTGTATCGCCATCAAATGTTTCTACCATGATATGTTCCAGCCCTTCCATATACTTCAGCATGTCAAGCATACTTCGGCGCTGGTCTTGCGCCAGGGCCTTTGTTGGGAAGATATACATCCCTCTGCTGTGAGGGTTTTTCTCAAGCTCGTGAAGCATAGGCACTTGATATATGAGGGACTTACCCGAACTAGTGGATGTGGAAACAATGACGTTGTGGCCGTCATGAAGATCATTGATGGCTTTTGCCTGATGGGAGTAGAACTGTGTAATCCCCCGGGTGTTGTAGAGTGCATTGACCAAGTTTTGCGAGAGAAGGAAATCCAAATCGCCAAAAACTGGCTTCTTAGCATCGAATATGCGATATCCACCTTTTACTATCTGGTCATAATACCAGCTCTGTTCTTTTATTTCTGAAATGATTTCCGCAATGCTTGGTCTTATCTTGGGTATCTGTGCTGGAAGTTTCGCAGCAGCTGGCGTGTTGCATCCACTGTCGGGGGAAAGAGGCATATATACATCCTTTCCGGCTTCAAGACGTTGTACTGGATCGGCATTTTCTTGTCGACAGCTAGCTAAAAAAGTATCAATAGCGGTGGTAAATTTTTTGTTCCTCTTCTCAATCAGTGCAACCATTTTCTTCTGGCTGTAGACGGGCGTCCTGATATCCTCATAACCGCCCAGACCTACACCTGGCTGCGACTCGGGCTTGAGGTCTCCGTCGACAAATTCAAAGAGAAGCTCAGCGGCGGGAGACTTGTTTCCGCCATGGCTACCATTTGAACCCATTCCCTCTGCCTCCCAGTCGTTCCATATCTCGGGGACTTTCTTTTTTCTGGCCTCAGCCACTCCCATGATACTGATCACACCTGTATCTGAAAGTTCAAACCTGACAGACTGCGGAATGAGAAATTTTACTTTGGCAACATCTTCAATAGTAAGTGGCCTACCGCCAGTCTGGGACTCAACCGAACTCCTTATTTTCTCGAACGTCGTGGTGTAATGCTGACGAGTGCAGCAGAACGTATATACCACATTTAGTGCCCGATGAATCCTGCTCAGAGCTTTAAACTCCTCAGGCCACGGTATTGCAGAGGAAGGCTCTGAGTGTGAAGACGTATTCGACGTTCCTATCTTCGCTAGAGCCCCATTATCAGTGCCACCATGGTCCTTGACAAGGGGAGTTGAATCCTGCCCGTCTGCATCATCTCGCTTTCTCTTTCCCCGATTTTCCATGGTACTTAGAAGAAACGGACATGCAGGCACAATCCCATAAGCTTGAGTCATTCAAGCCACTCATACCCCCATCATCGGCAGTTATCCCCATCTTCCAAGTGAGATATCAACTATTCCAAACTGCCTCGTTCTTGTGACGTCGTCGCGATAAAAACGCGTCATCACGTGATTCGTATCCAGACAAAAGGCTGCAGCGCTGGCCAGCGAACACGCCAGGACCAGCCAGTATTTTGGTACAGAATATCATTATGATAGATCAAATATTGTTTTTGAAGACACAAAATACGATGGATCATGCACTGTGCAAGAGGGAAAAAAAATGACAAAATTAAAAATTGGACAATGTGATAATCGA